GGGACATTTAAATATTTTGGCGATAAGCGAAGTGGTAAATGGAATGATAACATTATATCGAAGTTTCACTTTTTTTACGCTTTATATATAGTTAAGGAGAGAAAAAAACGATCATATTTAAGCTAGCGCGCATTATGTTGTTTGCTTGCAAAGCTGTGTCATTCAAATAGATCATAAATACCATACAAAAAACAGTTCAATACTTATATTTACGTTTTCTCTGCCTCTTATGTTCTTTTTAACTTATAATTTATTTTTAAAATTAAAAATGCCCGCCTTATCGACAGTCCACACAATTTCGTTCAATAGGTTGAACAGCGTAATGTCGCGTGCTGATTTGCAAACAAAGTAGGACTTTGAAATTTTAACAAACACTTCAATTTTATTCCGCAACTCAGTATCAATACAATTGCGTATGATATGTATATAGGGTGATTGAAGTTTATCAATAGAACTCTGAGCTGAAAGTTAGATATAAAATTGTTTCGATTTTTCCCCGGAACAAATTTCGCGCATGGACAAATACAGTGAACACCGTAAATACGACCTTGCCCTCCACGAGGGAGTTATTTTTGGAAGTTAATTCGAACATTTTTCTTTGTTCATTTTGTGAAGAATCCAGGCGTGAAATTATTTGTTGATTGTATGGGAACCTTACAGCAGTCGGTATATTCTATAACAGCCTCGTTATTTGACATGTCGTCAGAAACTGAGGAGTGGTGGATGCGAGACCCGTGAAACTCATAGCGTTTGAAGTGAGTGATCTTGCCACGGAGCACAGGTTCGTTACAAGTGTCTGAAATGTTTATGTGTGCTGTGACTCATATCAGTAGGTGTCAGTAGGTCTATAGAGTATGTGTATTTCAGACATTTGTAACGAACCCCTGTTGATCAGTGCAGTGTAACAGACGATATTTCTGATAAATTGCATGAGCGTTAAAATTGTTTCCATTGCCGGCATTGGTGATTTCAACTGATGTGTATTTTGTACGATATTGCAGACCTTGGTCTTGTTTTCGTTGTAATAAAAGTGTTTTTTATTTATTTTTTTTATTTTGCACATAAATTTAGAATGACATTGTCAAATCTCACAATGCCCAGCGATATTTCAGCAGCCGTCATGTTTATTTATATTGGATATTGTAGTTCCGGTCAATGTTGTATTAATACGCTAAGAATTGTGTCTCGTGATGCGTGGTAATTAAAGTCCCATCAACGACACAGCTTTCAAAGAGGCTATATAGTGACAATGCCATGCAAATGTAAATATATTAGCTTGACAACACGTTCCCATGTTTTTATTATTGATATCTCTAAAGTTCACTAAAATCATTAAGTAAATCATATGTGAACGGATTTTTAAAAAAAAATCTTGGATGTTTAATCGAACAAATGAGTATACCCATATTAAAGAAAATATCTTATTAGACCAAAACATTCTTAAAAAAATGTGTATATTTATTGCAGCAGGATGTTGATTATTTCTTTAAATTCTGGACTTACTGCTCACAGATTAATTATAACCGGCGCACGTCAAAAATTAATCGTAAAACTGCGAAGGTCGGTGTGAATATCGAACGAATTGTAGCAACAGGAAACATTTTTATTTTTTAGTTGGCCTTATTAAGTAAAATGTTGTGCTGTGTAGATTAGCGTAAGCCTTATTTGTGGCGTCACTCAGGGCGAATCGATCTCTGAGAATAATCAGAAACCACGTGACATTAGAGTGCTTTATTTGGATGTATAATTACACGTGTGTTTTGTGAACCAGACACTTACCTGTAACATCCCCACATATATAACATAACCCCTTAACACGGATATCGATCGCCCTGCTCTTTACCGTTAACTGGTAATATCAGTTTGGGAGTCGTCTCCGAATCATGTCGTGTCAATTGCTGAAACTGACACCTGATGAACTTATTGAATGTGTCTATTTTTGGGCCATGCTTGGACTCCCCACCATAAAGCTTCGTGGTAACACCTATATTTCCTAGCTTAATCTAAAACCCGATGATTCGCTATCAGAGAAAAGTGTGTGCCTATGGCCTGTGTACAAAGTAGACCTTTCTAGAACATTCCGACTTCCGGTGCCAAAATGTATCTAAAAATTACGCATATATAGCTATGTTTCATTCACGAAAAATCGTTTAAAAAACGGCTTCTGACATTGCCATCTGAGTAAGCCAAAACATTGAACAAATTCCTGGATGGGAAGGAAAATGTGACGTCATAATTGATGAGAAGTGGGGCATGTGACATAAGGATATGAGGATGGGGCAATAACGGGAAATGACGTAAAAACTCTGGGAGGGCGGTGTAGAGCGGGTAGGCGGTAGAAAGGAGGTTTCTGACTTAACTTTGTCCTCGGGTACACCGGATTGTATACAGACACAGTGAAGCTGTCTAAACCGACCACCACGTGACCGGCCATTTGGTTGTAATAGACAGGTTCTGAGATAATGATTTTACTATAGAAACATAAAGTTAAATGTTTCGAGCTCCGTTTAGACCGGTTTCACAGTATGTAAAACTCATTACTATGTAATGGGATTTAAGTATTGTATGTACAATGTGGATACTGAGTAAGGTACCGCAAAAGGAAAATGTGACATATTAACGAGACCAGCTTTGATGAACGTTCAAGAATCTTACAGCGGCCATTTTATGACATAAGGTTTTTTTAATCAAAGTCATCCTGTGATCCAAGTTAAAATTTACTATCAATTCATCCTATGATTAAGGTCAAGTGTCCTATCAAATTCATCCTATGATCAAGGTCAAGTGTCTTATCAAATTCATCCTTTGATCAAGGTCAAGTGTCCTATCAAATTCATTCTAGAATCAAGGTCAAGTATCCTATCAAATAAGTGTCCTATCAAATTCATCCTATGATCAGGGTCAAAGGTCTTACCAAGATTATCCATTACCTTCGTATAGTGAAAAAGTAACTTAATCATCTGCAGTTGATAACCTCATGAAAATAGTGCTTTTGTATAATTACAGTAACTAAGGCGCTATAACCTACATTGATACCAATGATCTCATAGGCTAAAACCAACAGTGATACCATTGATATCATGGGCTACAACCTACAGTGATACCAATGCTCTCAAAGGCTACAACCAACATGGATACCAATGCTATCATGGGCTACAACCTACAGTGATACCAATGGTCTCATAGGCTACAACCTACAGTGATACCAATGGTCTCATGGGCTACAACCTACAGTGATACCAATGCTCTCATGGGCTACAACCTACAGTGATTCCAATGATCTCATGGGCTACAACCTACAGTGATACCAATGATCTCATAGGCTACAACCAACAGTGATACCATTGATATCATGGGCTACAACCTACAGTGATACCAATGGTCTCATGGGCTACAACCTACAGTGATACCAATGCTCTCGTGGGCTACAACCTACAGTGATACCAATAATAGCATGGGCTACAACCTACAGTAATAACAATGATCTCATAGACTAAAACCTATAAATGTATCAGTTATATCAGACGCTACAACCTACAGTGATGCCAATGATCTCATATGCTACAACCTACAGTAATTACAATGATCTCATAGGCTACAACCTACAGTGACACCAATGATCTCATAGACTACAACCTACAGTGACACCAATGATCTCATAGACTACAACCTATAGATGTATCAGTTATAGCAGACGCTACAGCCGACAGTGATAGCAGTGAGCTCATGAGCTACAACCTACAGTGATTCCAATGATCTCATAGGCTACAACCTATAGTGATTCCATTGATAACATAGGCTACAACCTACAGTGATTCCAATGATCTCATAGGCTACAACCTACAGTGATTCCGATGATCTCATAGGCTACAACCTACTATGATTCCAATGATCTCATAGGCTACAACCTACAGAGGTATCAGTAATATCACACAATGTACAATACAGCCTACAGTGATACCAATAATCTGATAGACTACAACCTATATATTCATGAGTTATATAAGACGCTTCAGCCTACAGTGATACCAATGACCACATGAGCTACTATAATAATCTACAGAGGTATCAATAATATCAGGCGCTACAGCCTACTGTGATACTAATGATCTCATTGGCTACAACCTACAGTGATACCAATGATCTCATGGGCAAAACCTACAGTGATACTAATGATATCATAGGCTACAACCTACATTGATACCATTGATCTCATAAGCTACATCCTACAGTGATACCAATGATCTCATGGGCTACAACCTACAGTGATACCAATGGTCTCATAGGCTACAACCTACAGAGGTATCAATAATATCAGACGCTACAGCCGACAGTGATACCAATTATATTATGCGCTACAGTATACAGAGGTATCAATGATCTCAGGCGCTACAACCTACAGAGGCACAAATGATCTCAGGCGCTACAACCAGGTATCAATGATTTCAGGCGCTACATCCTGCAGTGGTACTAATGATCTCAGGCGCTACAGCCTACATTGATACCAAATATTTGAGGTGTTAGTCCCTACAGTTATAACAATGATCTCATATGTTATATCATTCAATAGTATCAAAATGATCTTAGGTGCTACAGCCTACAGTTACTACATTTATATCGGGCTTTACAGATACCGATGCGGAAACAGTGCTTTTATCGACTTCCCTTTCTTAAGTGGTAAAATCAAGCGGCAAACGCCGAACGCATCGGTAAGGGGAGACTCTTGTTCCAAATGAGGATATACGGTTTTACGGAACTTATAGCATCATATAAGACACAGAGAGAGAGAGTACCGGCGCACCTCCCATTATATGGTAGGTGTACGTACGTAAAAGAACTGGGGCCTTATCGATCGGGCCACCTAATGAAACACCCCGACATTCACAGAGGTGGCGCCTTGTGTATCTGTTTCATACAATAGCCACACAGAAGTGTACAAGTAAACCATCGTTAGCATCGCCTCCTCTGCAGTGCGGAGTTACTCTGGACATAAAACTAACCTGTCTTTTGGTCTCAGTGTTTCTGGTTTGCCGAGGCCGACGAAGCTGCAATGCTGGCGGCCACCTAGAGTATAGTTTCTAAGTATACTCAAAGCCGAGTAACACGGTTCCACCAAAGGCAAGAACGGTCCGGTAAAGTCCCTCTATAATATATCACAGAGTTCTGAATGTAGTACATCCATCCGGAAAACACTTTTTATGAAACAAATACAATCGTCCGCTGAAACACACGGATTTTTGCAACATATATTTACCTCCTTTTTTAAATGAAAAACATGGTGTCGTTATAGAACACACTTATCCATGACGTTTATCACACTAGCACGTGGTTCGACCGCGCGTGTGTCAATGAGATGCTACTGTTGCAATCCTGGACGAAGAGGATGAATCCACAAGGACTTTTGGTTTAGAAGTACCATCGTGAATGCTTACAGTAATCCAGCTATGGTAAGCAGCCCTAGAGTGAAAACCTCCACTAGTAAAAATGGTTCCTGTACCGGAAAACGTACCAGTGATCTACAACGAAAAATTAAGTATAGGAACGCCGAGAAGACATGATGAGGAACACACACATACATATAAGGATTGCACGAGCGAAGCCCCAACAACACCGACTGTGTCAATGGTAGCTTCAGCTCTGTGTCCTACACACATACATCGCTTATCAAAACCACCACGCTTTTATCAAAACATCTCACAGATCAATATGTAAGTCTGTGAGGAACTTTGGGATACGGTCTATGCGTGTTCTCAATAGCCAAATAGGCCCAGTAATGAAAGCTACGCGACAGCAGAACGTCAATATATCGTATGCTCAGAGGGCGGTTAAAACAACCTGCCTCCCCTCAACCGGAACTGGACTGTGCAAGCGTTCATTCACCCGTGCCGGTGGATGAAGCGCTAGGAATTCATTATTCAACAGTATAGTTACGTGTAACGATTACCAGTGAATGGGAATTTGAGGGAAAATTGGATTACAGGGCAAATGGAGATTTTAAGGTTTTAGGGAACATGTACCATCCGTGACGAGGCATATGGAAAATTTGCCCTCTTTCACTTGTAATGGCAAGAAATGACTTAAAGCATCCTTAAAGGTGGTATCGAAACTAACACCAAAATTATATATGAGAAGTTTGATATCATACTAAAATGTTAAACAGTTTAACTCATTCACCCCTGAAATTTCATAATGAACTATTCCAGGCCATGAATTGGAAGAGATAAAATGTGTCTTCAGGGTTGACTGAGTTAAGCGACCATTTATTACCATTATATCAGTATGTGAACGTGTTAAACATTTATTGTTTTTATCTACACAAAATCCTCAAAATGTCGACAGAAACAAAAGCTAGCGCGACATATTCTTGTATAATAAACCGTCTTACGCATGATCCATTGTGACATTCAAGTAATGCTGACGCCAGTGTCAACGTGATGCGTAGAGGAACATTCGGTGATGTCTACACCATTATCAATCAGTTCTTCTGTCTTGTAATTACAACGGTAAGTCATCAAAATCGTTTTCTGTACAGAGATCTTATTTGTTGTACACGTTTTGTAAGTCCTAGGAACACAACTTTCAACAAACCATTGCGCTGGTTCAACAGAATGTGCTATGATGCCTGCAATAACATGTTTTATACCCCCATCTAACAACATGTATTACTACGTATACGCGCTCCAATATAACATTTTGTATTGTTACCTGACTCGCTATATAAATGCATATTTATCAATTTCGTCTGTTTCCCAGACAATTCACCAAACGAACTATAGCTAATGTGTGCTACCGTAAAACTGTTAATTGGTCACCGTAAATCTGTTGACTGGTCACGTGATGAACCGGTCAACAGTTTTACGACTGTTGACTTGTCACGTGATGAACTGGTGCTTGCTACCCTACGACTGTTGACTGGTCACGTGCTGAACCGGTCAACAGTTTTACGACTGTTGACGTGTCACGTGATGAACTGGTGCTTGCTACCCTACGACTGTTGACTGGTCCCCTGTTCCGTACTCGAACGACCCCATAAATACAAGCACCCCAATGAAGCGTTTTTGGTACTGGATTGTTGACGGGTGTCTGTCGGGAGATCTAAACATCACATTCGACATAGAACTTTTTGGTTTTTCATTAGACCAGTAACAAAATAGTTGATTCATGCCTTATCAGTCAACAGTCAAAACCATTTTCCCACGGAGTTGGGACCCAACTGTGATGTTTAGATCTACCGACAGACGACCGTCACCAATCCAGTACCAAAAACGCTTGGTCATCGGGGTGCTTGTAATTATAGGTGCGTCCGATTACCTAACATGTGCCCAGTCAACAGTTGCACGTGACCAGTCCACAGTTTTACGGTGACCAGTCCACAGTTTTACGGTGACCAGTCCACAGTTTTACGGTAGCACACATCAGCTTTAGTTCGGTTGGTGAATTGTCTGGGAAACAGTCGAAATTGATACATATGCATTTATATAGCAAGTCAGGTAACAATATGTCTTATTAAGCACATGTACACCTTCCAACAACAGCACATATTGCCATAATATACGCGTCCAGTATAAATCACTGTGCGCGAACCATCAAACGACATGCTCTATTACGCGACCCCGTCTAACAACATATTTAACTCGGCAGTTTTGGGGACGTTTAACTCCGATAAACAAACTTACTAACATTTGCATGTATTATTCCGTGCCCTGTACCCGCCAACTCCGTGTAGTTATAAAAGTTATATGCGTAATGATATATAAAAACTATAGTCTCCTTCAACCTGACGCTTGATCTCTTGTACATTATTGCAATTCGATGTAGCTTGCGCAGACAACAAGAGTCTGGTTGAACGAGACTATAAAAACTATGGCCTTGTAGGATTTTCAGCATTCGCAGATTTGCTTTGTTGAATAGGGAAAAACAGTGACGTGATTGAGTCACATTATAGACAGTAGTGAATAACCTAGAGAGAATCCTTCAAGACTCGTTTCATTGAACTTTGGTCTTTGATCATGTGGGCTGTAGTAGAGTGTGGCGATTAGATCGCAAAGTGTTGTTTCACGCTATACGCGGTATTGAATTACATACATCGTGTAACACTATAAGTAATGTACTTGGCGTAAAAAAATGGCATATGATGTAAACAGTGTACATTTCATCCGTATTACCTACATCACTACCAGACGTGTTTCCCTTGTAATTAGGACAATGTAATTTAGGTCACAGCCCTACACTTAATTGCTGTCAATAACGAGGACAATGGTTAATGAGGTTACTCGGATTGCACGTGCATGAATAAATAACACATGGGATGTTACGAGCGGAAGGTTTACATGCGGAGGTATTGGTTCGAATCCAACACCAGGGTTACAGCACTAGTTGCCCTGACATACAAAAACGACCGACATGCCAACATTTCACGTGCCTACTGTCACTTGTATAATTTCTTGACACATGTCAGATTTCATGTCGTTTTAATATGTTCTAACTATCACAATATGACACGCCTGTATTACGGGAAGGTTTCGATATTTTTCTCGATAGGAAAAGGGTTATAACAGTAGACAAAGGAAGCGTGCTGTGATTCCCGATGAGAGTTTGGTTGGTTTGATTTTGTTTAACGTCCAATTAACAGCTGAGGTCATTTAAGGACGTTCATCCATGTGTGTAGTGCATGCGTGCTTGAGTGTGTGTGTGTGCAGGAGACCGGGTATGTTGGTGTATTTGCCTCCTTGTGATAGCGCGGATCTGATGCCGACTTTGTAATGCTATCTCACTGAAATGCCATGCCGAAGGAACCAAATACAGAATTCCGCCCGGTCACATTATACTGACAACGGGTGAACCGGTTGTTGCCATTCCCCTAAATGCTGAACGTTAAGCAGGGAATGACAACAACCATTTTGAAGGATTTTGGTATGTCCCGTCCTGGGGACAGAACCCATTGCCTTCTTCACCTGGGCGAACGCTCAGCATTAAAGCCAAAAAGTAAGGTGTTGCCAAGCAAGGAGCTAGGAAATAAAAAGTGGTCAGAAGCAGACAGAAAAATAAAGATCCCGATAAGAGGTTTTCGTCGAGTTCAACAGATGAGGCAAGACGCCTACACCCATATGTGTTGGACTGCGTATGGCTTCTTGTCCCATCCCATTCTATACATACTCACATTGAGTCGTCCTCAAGGGGAATATTCAAGGGGAGATATTCGCAGGGCTTGTTTATCAGAACTTTTTTTCCGCCTGGATTGTTCAGATTATTTTTTGTTTTCGAAATAGGAACTCTGTCTCCCAAAAAAAAAAAAACGCAATATGCTTCCCTTACAAGATCCAGTACCGAAACAAGACAACCGTATTCTGAAGAACGAACAATAAGAAGAATTAATGGAAGACTAAAATATGTTGGTTGGAGGAAAATTTATGCGTCATAGCAAGTAAATGTTTCGTACATAATTGAAATATGATTACAAGAACTATAGTATCACGTCATTGGTAGGAATGCAAACAATCTGTACTTAATCTTGATTGGCTTAAATACTGAGAGATCCGATCTGTCGAACGACCATAAACTGAAAGAAAATAAATTACTGAACCGTTTCATTAAGAAATATTTATGATACGCATTATGTTTTATTAATTGACTGGTATATTTTTTTCTTGAATTTATCTTGTATCATTATGTACTACTTACTTGTGTTGATCAACGCTCACTTTTCAGGGGAGGTAATTATAAAAGCAGACTTTATATTCGCAAAGTTAAAACGGAATACGGAATTACATTTAGATGAAAGATGTCTGAAGAAGCAGTTTCTTTCCCATAAATCTTATAACTACATACATTGTATGAAAAATATTAAATAAATCAGAATGGGAAACGATTGATATAGATTCTGACCGCTGTCAGATCCTTTTGTTTTGCAAACAATAAAATATCTTGAATTAGAAATCGATATATATTCTACGTGGCTACTTTGAGAAAATATCATTCCTTTGATAACTATGTCGGTTTTACATTTTACATATATTTTTTGATTCACTGGAAATTCATCATTACAAATTAGGGTAGTTTGGTAGCGCAGTGGTTAGCGTCCTTGTCTTTCATCAAGACGGCCGGGGTTCGATTTCTCGTTCGGACATTAAATGGTATGGAATCACCTGCCAAACCACGAAGGTTTTCTACAGCTACTCCGGGTTGTTTTCATTTGGGCGAACAAGAGTGATTAGGATATGTTGGAAACGTTTGTTTCATAATTGTTGTGAAATAAACAAAGTTTAAAAAAAAATTCTGCTGTTTTTTAACTGCAGGCTTACGGTAGCATCAATGGATGTTAAATGATCATGTATTTAATTAACACCCTTCGTATTTATTTAACGTTGTACTAATCATGCTGGTGGAAAGGACACGCTACCGACCTTATTTACCTTACCAGATGTGAATTCAAGTTTTCAAATAAATATTTCAGAACATTGACATAGTTGTGAGTATTTTTGGGAATATTATTCGACAGTGGCAATTTTGAAAATTA